ATAAGTTATTTCCAACTTAGAAAAAGGAAATGTTTTGGAACAACATACTATAGCAGCGTTAATTTTATGCCAGAAGCAGTTAACAAAGCACATCAAAGAAATACAATTCTTTGAAAACAAATTCTTTTGAAGAACTTTTATACCTATTTGTTTAAATATATATTGTATTTAATGCACAATGTAATGTATTTTAAATTTTATGTAATTGTTGTCTTTGTTTTTACATATATTTGTTAATTTTGGGATAGATAGAAAAGTCTCGAAGGACAGCCAATATTTACTTGTAAAAATAAATAAGGTATGTAATATGTATAAAAATGTTTGTTAATTAAACAAATTAAAAGAATGATTTTTTAACTTGTTTCTTAAAAAACATTATTTAAATTTCCCAATAGTAGATCAATAGAAATGAATGGTGATTGTAATAAAGAAAACAAAACATTTTGTATTTTGTCTATTGTTCATCTCATTTTGTTGCCCAGTTGTCTGTCACCCAGTTTATGTTGAAGATAATATATGAATTAAATATATATATTATACTATTAAATTATATTTAAATGTGTTACATATTGTCTATTCATCATTAATTATTTGATATGAATTAATTATTAATGATTTTCATATCAAAAGTTTTCAAAAATCCTACTAAATTTTCAGAATGCATTAATCTAGTATTGGAAACAAATCTTAGCATTTTAGTGATCCAGTATATATAATATCTGATGCAGTTTCTATAATGTCTTGTGTTCAATTATAATGAATTATATTATGTTGCTTGTTATAACATATGAATTTTTTATTTTATAATATTCTTAACACTAAATGCTGTATATTTATCATCATTTTGCTTATATATCTGATCTTTATTTCTCAGTAATATTGATCTCATCATAACTCAAAAATTAGATGTAATTCTCAATGTCATGTTGCAAACAAGAACATTGCAAATAAAAATTTATTATTATTATTAATATTAAGTTTGTAAAATTCTTTATTCAAAATTATTCCATTTACATTTTTAATAAATTTGCATGATTTTTAAAATTTCCTATTTAAATACTTTTCAGATAAAATATATACATAAAAATAATCTTACTATTAGATTTTGGCTGCACAGTCACATAAAACTTTTCTGCTAAACTATCATCATGGAAAAGAACTTGTCTCACAGATAACTGGAAAGCCATATTAACATCTACAGCAAAATAATACACAAAAATCTTATATAAAATTCAGATAAAGCAAATGGTTTTAGATATATTAATATAATCTGACAAAGATAATGTTTAATCAATGACTATATTAAACAAAATGTTTATATCTAAAATTTGTTTAAAAAGAAATTACTTATTTCCATTACTAGAAAAACTACTACATCAAAAACAACTCTCTCTCAGCAGAGTAAGAGCATAATCCACAAATTTATACAAATATATATATATCTCACTTTATTGTCTAGACACAAACTAACTTGAATATGTATTAATTAATACAGTATAATAGCAGATACCGTTGGGTCTGAGAAGTTTGTCTGCTATTTGGAGGTACAAGCCAGCAGCCATATTGTATTTTAACCTAGTCATTATAAAGTGAATAATACAATGGTTTACAAAAACATCAAATTTGCATTAGGAATGTGAAAATAACAAAATGTATATGTATATGTACAATATATAATTAAAATATATATACAGTATATTATTTATCTTTTCAAATGTAAATATCACATTTTAATTGAATTCTAAATAGCAAATAGAGGATACTTTAATTAAATGGAACATAAAAATTATGACAAAATGTAAATGTTAGTTATTAAAATATCAAAAATAACCCAAGCAGAAGTAATGAAAAAAGAAAAGCAAAGCTTGTTATGAACAGAAGGATGGACTAAGTCAGTTAAGGCAGAGTTTGAATGTCGAATTGCAAAGGCAATTTGTTAGCCATTTTAAGGGATAAGAAATGTATTTGAAATCCTTTCCTCACATTTCATTTTGGAACACATTAACCCAAAGATGATCTTCCTATGTAGATCATATATTCCAACAATAAGACAGAAGTTTAATAACATTAATATGTATGACAATAAATGGTGAATGACAACTTAACTAGATTAGTCTTTGCTAACAGATAAAAAATACTGTTCATCTTTTTAAAACCTGCCCCCTCCCCTATTTCTATTTTAAGCCAGTCTTTATTTGATGCTTATGGTCAAAATTCGTCCTCCGAAAGAGCATTTGAACCGATTCTTAGTTTTAGTTTTAAAATATTTTGTACATAATTCTTTCAAATATTTGTGTTTTCATAAGATAAGTTATGGATGAAGACTTTTATTTAAAAGTAAATATTATAAGTATTATTTAAAAGTATTATTATTTAAAAGTAAATATTATAGACATCCTGTTTGAAGGATTTGGGGATTGTAAAAATGTGAGGTGTCTGCTATTCGGGAGTGTCCATTAATGGAGGTTTCACTGTTTTAGTTTTAGAGTTGTTTAACTTCAAATTATAATATAATTAAAAGTCAATTATACTAATTTCAATTTTTGAACAACAATGTAAAAAGATTTATTAGTTTCATCTGTAATTTTAGAGTAAGAAATAAATAATCAAACTTTTAACTATTACCATTTTTCAAATATTTGTATTTTTATCAAAACTAAACTAGAGGCATACTGGAAAAATATATTTTTCCAAAGATATTTAAATGTTAATAAGATAAATATTAATGAATAAAATTTAAAGTTTATTAATTATTTGAAATTTATTACAAAATGTAAAAGATTTAGATAAAGTCATTTCAGGATAAGTTGTTATAACTTGAATCTTGACTTAACAGAGAAAAATGCTATAGCAAGCTTAATCTAGTATTCTTTTCAGTCATTACATCAAATATTTCAGGCATACACACACTAAAGGCTTAATGCAGATAAGCTTTATGTAAGAAATTCATGTTTTGTATCTGTTTAATTCCTCTCATAAAAAAGTTCATTTGAATTGATGCAAATATCAAATCATTTGTAAAAATAACACTGGTCCAATGCATTTTTTACAAGCTAGACCAGTGTTTCTCAATGGGGGCGATATCACCCCCATGTGGGCGTTTTTCCATGTTGAGGGGGCGATTAGTAACAATTTATATTTTGGAGGGCGAAAAACAATTTTCTGGGCTATATAGTAAAACATTATATTAAGAATAATTAGATATTTTATTCGTTATACTAGTCACCAGTCAACTCAATGCAGTACGAATTTGGCTTTAGTCTTGGTTCTCAGCATCGGAATTTTGAAGTGAAGGGGGCGATAATAGGTAACAGTCTTATTGAAGGGGGCGACGATTCATTAGAGGTTGAGAAACACTGAGCTAGACTATGAATTGAATCTCATTGAGAATTGAGTTACAATGCAGTTTATGAATTAATCCTCTGAAGAGAATTTGGAAAAAAATAAGAAGCCGTAATTATGGCTTTTTTTCCAGATATTTCCTTACAACTTCAAGAAAGAGATATCTTAGGTAACAATAATTTAAATGATATTACATGGCATGATCACACATCATTTCATATATACAGTGTGTTTCAAAACTCATGGGCAAAAATTTAAGGGGTGATAGAAAACATCTAAACAAACATATCTAACTGAATAAAGATTGAAACTTGCCTAGTGTTGAAGAAAAGTCACTTCATTGTGCCAGTATACAATACAATCTAAACAAACAATTTTCCATACAATGTATGGGCAAAGAGCAAGCGGTGAACTGCTAGACGGCGCTGTAATGGAAAGCATAAAGCGCGAGTTTTCTTACACATCATCATTTCTACCGTGGATTTCAGAAGGCATGGCAACATACAGCAATCAGGAAAAGGCGGACATGCATTTTATGTATGGTCTTGCAAATGGGAATGCTCTGGAAGCCGAAAGACTGTACAGGCAGCGTTTCCCAAGAAGACGTGCCAGACCAAAAAATTCGAGCGATTGCATCAGTGCCTGTGCGAAACGGGATCCTTTGTCACTGGCATGCATGATACAGAGCGTGGCAGAAGTGTGCGGATGCCACAAGTTGTAGAGGACATTCTGCAAAGAGATTTAGTAAAATTATTTAGTACCTCCACTGTCCGTTTGGTATTTCATTCTTTCATGTGACAGTAATGGATACCTCCTAGCACTTTACCGCTTGCTCTTGCCCATGCACTGTATAGTAAAAATTGCTTGTTTAGATGTTTTATATCATCCCTTAAATTTTTGCCCATGAGTTTCAAAACACCCTGTATATGCAGATATAACTTTTCTGGTCTCAAAAATTGGGATTTGCATTAGAATTCATGTATGCAATAGAATAAGGTACAAAGCTAACTTAATTCAGCTTCATTTGTGTCATTTACTCTTCACTCTGCTCAATAATTTGCATGTATTATGATGTCAATATAGTTATGGTAAATGTCCTCCCACTACTACATTTTTAATTTTGGTTTTGACTTTGGAATGGTTTGGTGGTTTTTTGAACTACAGCAATCAAGTGAGTGATGTCATAATTATGTCTTTTACATATGCTAAAAAATTTCCTTCAGCATCCTGNTATGCTAAAAAATTATTTTATTTATTTATTATTTAATATTTATTTTTTTATAGTTTAAGCTCTTTTTTTCTATTTTAATTCATACTTTTAGTTTTCAGATTGCATTTCAATATATAATATCTATAACTGTGACTCCCTCCCAGGTAAATTCATTTTGGTTTTATTTTTTGGCTTCTTAAAAATTTAATATCATACACTTAGTACTCAGCATATATTATATATGCCTTTTATTGGTTAAATATTAAATTAAAAATATATTTTCCTTGTAACTAGTCTGGATCAGTTTTTTAAGAAATTGTCAACAGCTGAGAGGGGTTTAGACCCAAAATGCATTCAAAAACAATTTAAAGTGATTAATTTTGTCATGATTTTTTAAACACATGTCTTGCATGTTAAGTCCTACATTTGTCAAGTTTGAGATTTAAGTATTAAAAAATTTGTATTCTGTTTTCTATTTTAATATAACATAAAAACTGCTTTTGCCTATAGCATCTATAAAAATTGTAATAAGAATATAAATAAAATTAGTAATAATATAAATATTTCCAACCATATTCTGTAGATGATGATGGCGGTGTACTAAGCAGTCCATTAGCTTGATCGATGAAAGTGAAAAATAATTCACCACGTCCCAGTAAATAAAAATCTTTAATGACGTGAAGATGTGCCACTAGTTTAACTTCTTCCACAACTACTTGCCATAAATGCTAGTAACAGAAACAAAAAAATATTAAGATAATGAAAATATTAGTTTCTTGTTTTAATATAAAAATTCAATCTACAAAAATATATTAATAATAATAAAGTATAATGATTATTTACATAATATATAACCTTTGGTCTTTTTTTGAAAGTACAGGCATCCCTTGTATAACACGGTAGATATATTCCAAAAGGGTGTCAAGTTATGCAAATCCATGCTATAGGACAAAGGACTAATGCAAAACATGGGGTTAGGTTCCGAAGTTATTCTTTTTCATTACTAAGAGAAATATGTTTATTAAAGCAATCAATACTTTATTTCTAATCAATAATTAGGTAACAATTACAATTAAAAGTACTGTTAATAACAATTTTAGTTAAACAAGAGCATTTTCTTTTTTCAAAGTATCATTGTCATCTGAGCTTTTTTGTTGATCCTGATCAGAAATATCAGCAACATCTTCATTTTTTATTTTTATCATAATTTTCTATGGATGAAAAAATAAAAATATGTTATTAATTAATAATTTTTTCTAGCAGGTTGCATCTGTTCAGTCAAGTACAAAGTAATTTTTTCCAGAATTTGTGCTTGAATACCAAATTGTTTGAGTACAAAGATAATGCTGTATTTCATTCGTCATTTTTACAAATGATTATTAACCTACGGCTAAAAAAATGTTTAAATACACTTTACTAAATAAAAAGATTAATCTATAAAAAAAAAAAAAACAGTGACAGTCTTAAGGGTAAAAGTCTGAAAGCAATGACAATGCCACCCAGTTGATATGAAAGCTAGGACAAGGAAGAAAAAATTCTATCACTTTACATTAAAGTAAACCTAATGAAAAACACAAGACAAATTGAAAATTTCAATATTCTAAGATCCATGAGCTAATTTGAGACAACATGCATGCTTACTTGAATAAAAATAATATTGAATAATGAAATTTACACTTAAAAATTGTGAAATTTTGTATGGAGTATTTCCAAAACTGTGTTACAGCAAAACTGGACATCATGTTGTATGGGGGATATCCCCAATTTTCAAATCATATTAGAGTGAAGTAGTGTTATACAAGGGATACCTGTACTTTCTTAAATGAGATATTGAATTTAAATAAACTAAAATATTGTATTGTATACTGTATAATATGATATTTATTGTAATATATTATAATCTTATTTAAAGGAATTCAATAAATTCTGAAAATTGAAAATTTTTATGATAATGATTTACATTTAATTCTTGGACTGTCAGTTAGTTAAGTATTTTAATTATAAATAACAACCACAAATTCTAATAAATTTTACTTTTGTAAAATTTGTTAGAATTTGTTAAATTTGTAAAAATATGAGAATGAAAATTCAATCAAATAAGAGAATCAAAAATGACTGAATATATGGTAAAATGACAAAAACAAGAAAACTTTAATATTGCTAATATAAACTCTTGTTAATGATAATATAGAATTCTATATGTGAAATATACTAATACATATTAAATTAATGTTAAAATCCAGTTATAACAAGCTAACTACAAATTATCCCCAATAAATATGTTTAATTGAATACAGTGGGTAATCGGTTAACAAACATAATCCATTCAAAGACAATGTTTGCTACCCGTACAGTTTGTTAACTGATTATTGATTTACCATAGATTTTAATGGGAATTTGGTTAATTCATTCTGGAGACACCAAAAAATAAATAAAAATTATATAATTTCTTACTACATTTATTTATATGTAATAACAAACTAAAAGCAATCTCTCCATTTTTCCACGAATGGCACATGTTTGTATTTCAGATGTGATTTTCATTACTCCTTTATCTGCTTGATTCTTTTTGATTATATTTTTCTTAGCTAAGATTGTATGTACCTACTGTAGACCTGTTGAAGCCATACTGCCTAGGAACATCAGATATCTTCTGCCCACAGTCTTATCTTGGCTATAATCTCCTGCTTAGTTTATGTAGTGAACACAGTTCTGGCATGACACTCTTTTTAAGCTCCATAATATTATCAGGTTTTTAAATAAAAAGTTCAGAAAAGTACTTACAAAAATTCAGAGAACAAAAATCAACTAATGCAAAAAAGGTTATGTATACAACTGTGAAAGTCTCGTTCCATTCATAGATTCCAGTAAAATAAAGCTTTACAAATCATAAACGCATCGATGCTGCTTCTTGTTTGTTCTGGGAGGTGTTCATTATCTTAATGTGTGTTTGTTGTTTGAACATAAAAATCTTTTGTGAAAGTGTTCATTGTCCAATTTGTTTGCAGTCTGAATTATTCGTTAACCAATCACCCACTATATTTTTGTAGACTTTCCTAATTCTAATATATTTTGTTTTTAAGATAGTTATCAAAAATTCTTAAAAACTATTTGGTTTGGTGAGAGTATAACCTTGTTTTTTATATTCTAAGTAATTCAAAACTGTTGAATAATCAACACTTTCTTTCTTTTCAACAATATTTTCTAAACATTCTTCAGTACATTTAAAACTGATTAAATTTAAAAATAAGAAAAATAATAATTATAATTATTATTTTTAATTTATTTTAACTATTAAATTCAAAATTATTTAATCAATTTAATTGCAAAGAATAATTTTTAGTTACTATACGCAATTATTTAATCTTAAAGGAACAAATAATTTATTCTTACTTCGGCAGCAGTACTTCGAATTTCATCTACCACAGATTCAAAATCCGATGGAGAAAATTCTTCCTGTTTCTGAAGCATAAATAGCTTTTGGGCAAATTCATCATCTTTATTTTTAAAAATAGATTCTAGAAAAATATCAATGAATTTAAATATCTATAAGCATATTTATAATAATATATATAATGAAATTCCCTGCAATTTGTGGGATTTTATGGCTATTTTATAAATCTAAATTCATGTTAAAAGCTATATTTTTGCAAACTTCTAATCCTTCATAGATTACTGTTTCTTCACCCCTTTCAAAAATTTACAGAATTAGATAAATTATATCTACTATTAAACAAATTTAGCAATTTACTGCAAACTTGCAACCTGAATGTTGCTGGAGTTAGACTGGGTTTCAACAAGAGAATCAAATACTTCAATTGCATAGCTTTCTATTAATATTTTAACAGTTTAATTACACCCACCGGCTTCATCTAAAAATATCCAGTAGAATTACTCACAACTTCATGCATGATTACTTCCTACTATCATTTATCAGTATCACAATGATCTTTCTCTTACAGTATAATCAATAACGTGGGTACAGTGGAACATTTACTCCATGAAAAATTCTCTTGCAACAATCAATCATGCCAACATATTTTGCATAACTTTTAATTTCATATAGTTGCACCATTAACATGAATTACTTTTCACGAGTTAATATTTTACTTTCCCAATTCTGTTATATATAACATAAGAAAAGAATAGCGACCTGTCAAAAAATGAACCCCAGGATTTTTACATTTTTGGACTCAGGACTTCGAAACATCAAGAAATGCAGATGCAAAAAACTTTGAGTTTTTTTTCTATATATGGTTTTGTTCATTCTCTTTAAAGCTTATAACTCTTGTGCTTTTTGTCAAAAATTTCTGATATATTGCAGGGAGGTTTGTATATTAGGGGAATTGATGGTATTAAATTTTGGTGGTTAAAGATTGACAGAGTGGGAAGATAAAGGGGATTCGTGTGTCACATCTTGATTAGAGTCAGACTTAATGACAATTCTACTTTACTAGCATTTACAATTTTTTTTTTAAACCCATCCCTATCCTCAAAATTAAGCTTTTTGCTATTTTATAATAATTAAAAATATAAAAAGTTTTAAAAAGTTAATAAAATATAACAGATGGCACCACTAAAATTTCAAATGTTGCCAGAAAAAGCAATTTGTTGCTGGATTTTTTTTCTTTAAGTCCAAGACCTTGATCATCAGGAGATTATGAAGTGGCGATAAAAAAAATAGCATATTAGTTACTTCAGAGATACTGTAGAATAATATTTTGTAAAATTTATAAGTCCATTAACATCGTGAACTAATGAAGGCAGTTCAATTTCTTCAATTAGTCTCTTACCAGGACATATGATCTTAAAAACAAGTTTCCTGTATTAACTAAAGTTACATTATCAGTTTCAATTGAAGAATCATCCTGCTTTGTAATTTTCAGTTCTGGACAGATATAACCATTAGAATATAAAATACTGTATTATCATTTACATCTTTAACATTACATTTGTATTTTGCCGACTCCCATTCATTGACAGTAACTTTATCTTCCAATCTTATATTCAATTATCATTAAACTTCCAGGTGGATGAGATGGTGTAAATGAATATAGGATACCGCTAGTATAATCATTGTATTTACTACTCCGCTAATTACATCACAATGAATATGAATATCATCAACTCCTTTTGAAATATTTGCTAACCACTTTCCATTCAGTTCTTTCTATTCATATATCTTTGGTTCAAAGCCTAATATCTTGTGTAGTTTGCTCTTATTCAAATCAATTTTATATCCAGGTTTCAAATGAATTATAAATCTTGTTGATATAATAATAAATAACGTTATAGAATTTGTAAAAGACCTTAAATGTTTTCCATTAGAGAAATATACAAAGAAAGCTAAGTGGAATGATTATAAATTTATAGAGAAATAAATGAAGAATAGAGGAAAAGGTGTTATCAATGACATAATTAATAGATTACCATTTGAAATGCATGTACTAGGTCACTCATTTACAGGTCTTGGAACTCAGCTATTATGGGATAAAACTAGATTAAATCCCGATTTATCTTATAAATGGTCTAAACCGCGGTTTCCAACTTATTTTTATCGTAGAACCCTTTTCACCTTAGTAAAATGGACGAAAATGGAAATTTATAGGTCTACAATTTTTTCAAATTGCAGCCCAAATACTTAAAAATATCATAAAACAATTGCAGTGCAAAACTAATAATCATTGATATGCCCACTTGTATGCTGTACTGTTGCACTATAACACACTATAGATGATGGGATGTTAATAAATTAAGAAATGTGTTGTTAAAAATAAATTATTATTCGATGATTATAAAGATTGTTTAAGAAATGGAGCAGTACAGAACAATGAATCTAATTGGAGTAAAAAACATTAACTTTATTCAATGAAGGCAAATAAAGTAGCTTTATCGTATCAAGATAATAAGATATATATTGGAAGATGGAATTCACACTTAGCATTAAGTCATAAACTTATTCCTATATAAATGGACATCTTGAAAAAGCTAAACATGATTGGTGCACTTCAAACTATTCCAAAGAAAAAAATAAAGAAACTTGATGTTAATTATAAATATCCTGTGTGCAAAGTTAAACAGATAACAACTAAATGTGGCAATATGATCTTAGTTGTTTTAGTGGATTATAAATGGAATAAGTTTCAAATTCTTCTTCCAGACAGATTTAATAAAAATATAACAGATAAAAAGATTAGAACATTAAATAAAATACAATAATTAATATTTATATACAGAGATATGAAAGATTGTGAAAATTCTAATAAATCACATATCATGGAGTTTGTTGATTGATAAAAGTTAGATGTGAATGAGAACAAATTTTCAAATCCTCCAAAGATATCCTCTTTTCATCTTTTTTTCTGATAATTTAACTGATAGAGTGATGGAATTGAGATTAATTCTTTCAAATCCTTCTCCAAAGATATCATCTGTTAATACAGGTATACCTCGAGTTACGTTGTTCTCGATTATACATCATTTGTCAAAAAAATATATAAAAAAATAAAAATTAAGTTTAAGTCATTTTATTTGACTCTATGTCCGTCCGCCACAAATATTGAAATCATAATATTACTAGAAAAGTGTTAAAAGCACATAAAATCATATTAAAATATATACATATGCAGTAAATGTTAATATAATCATCATAAATTGTAGAGAACAAAATATGAAAATATCTGTGACTGTGTTGTGGTCTTACTTAGCGGTCTTTAAGCGGTCTTGGCATTTTCCACATTAGTTCCAACATCTACTGTTTGGCGTTGTTGTCAGCGCCACTCGATATTGGTAAATTTAACATAAATTAGTTTATTTTTTACTATCGAAAAATAATTTTAATAACTGTATTTGTTATTTAACCTTAAAAAATCATCTTATTTTATAATGTCTTAGAGAAACCACATTCACAAATAAAGAGTCCGCGACGTACTGTAAACATCACCAAATTGTAAACATGTCTATTCACAAGTATGTACTGTATGTACTGTACATGTATTCGTAAATTTAGATTACTTTTTCCTGTACTATATTAAAAACTAAAATTTTATTTGTTTGTAAGCTTAAAATAGATTCTTATTAACCATATATTATTAAAAATGCATTTATAAATAAAATACAGAACTGGGAATGGTTATTTGTGACAAGTAAATTCGACTTACGTCGTTTTTCGACTTAAAGTCGCCTCTCCTGAAACCAATTACTGATGTAAGGTGAGATATACCTGTATCTCCTTTTTTATAATCTTTGAGATTTGTCATATCTTTTTATCCATGTTGATTTCTGTTATGCCATTTTCAAAAGATATTATTTTTAAATGATGAGATGACAGACCCAAATCAGACCCTGTGAATGGAGAAATTTTCAGAAAATTGCACTTTTTACTTAAAAATGGGCAATTTTCTTTAAAAAACATGCTAATTTTGTCAATGTTTTGATTTTTGCTCATTTGCCAAAAAGTGAGCCAAAACAGGTAAATATATACTACTCAGAAATAACATAAAACAAAATACAGCAACATATTTTTGGCAATGTATGTATTAATATATTCTAAGTATTATTAGTATTTTAGCTATCAAATAAATATTATAGATATCTCAATAATTTTAAATCAGAAAAATGAATGAAAATGGGCATCTTTAGAAAGCAGAAAAAAATTTAATCTTTATAATCACGATAATGTCCAAAAATGTTGCTATATTGATATGATGTGAATGTTACATAAAATGATAATTAAATAGCTGAGAATTTTCTAATTAAAGTTATCTTTTATAATCTCCAAATACAGGTCATTGTATGCTTGTTTACCATTTTTTAAATAGTAAAAATTTATACATATTAAAAAAGTCAAAAATTATATTAATATCTTTTAGAATCTCAGGCTGTTTCATTAGTTTTGAAAAGCAATTTAAAATAAAATTATTTTTGTTAAGATTCTGGTTAAAACATTTTAAATTAAATTTATGGAATATAGTCTTTCATAAATAAACTAATATGGTATTTAAAAAATAAATTTAAATTTAAACAATTTCTATACAGAATATTAATATTTTAACTTACTAGGCAAAGTAGAAAAATCTTCTTGATAATTCTTTCCAAATAGACAAACCGATTTTCCAATGAAGAGCACTTTTTCTGCAACATGACTAGGAATGTATGAAGGTAACAAGTCAGCTATAACTTTAAAATTTTCTAATGGTTTATTTTCCTCTTTTATGGAATTATTCTGAAAATAAATATATGAACAGATGATTATAACATAATTTCCAATATATTATACAATCAAATTAATGCAAACAATATTTTGAAACAAATTTTTATCTTTGTGACTTTTTTAAACAATACAATAACATTAGTTTTTCATGAAGAAGTCTAATAATTAGTAATGCAAATACTGTTAAGGAATAATCTTCTCATTTCCATGATTATGAAGATGAAAAAACTCTGTCAAAGTACTTAAATACATAAATATCAGACTTTTTGATAAAGATATGATTATGTATTGAATTAATCAAAAATATTCAATTTAAGCTACAAAATGTAGGTTACATATGAAAATATTTACAGTGACATTAAGAGCTTATTTATGTTTTTAATCAAAATGAAAGTATGGTCATTGTTATATTAAGCTGTATGTTAAATCACACACAAATTACTGAATGTATTTACTGATAATTTTCTTTTATTTCCTTTTAATATATTAGATGGGTGTCTTAGTCCACCAAAACACTATATTTTCATATTGTCAATTTTTTTTCTCTTGAAAGCAATGTTTATTATAGTTATAAAATCAAAACAATTACATAAATTTGAGGCAGAGCATTAGCAAAGCCTCTTCTATGTGGCTTATAGAATTGTATTCATTCTCAAAATCTGTTTGATCGATTTTGATTAAACTTTGCCGTTTTCCATTAATTCTAATGAGGAATCCAAGAATGTAATAAAAAATGAGGGTCTGTGACTTCATTTTCAAGATATAACGTTGTTTCACATTTCATTCTCAAAATCTAATGGGCCAATTTTGATAAATCTTTGCCATTTTCCATTAATTGAGACAAGGAATCCAAAAATATAATGATGGTCCATTTAAATGTAAAAAATAGGAGTCCATGACTTCATTTTTCATATACGGAAGTATTAAAGAGATAATGTTCATGCTTTCTGATGCAACATAGTGTGTCTAACAAAATTTAGGCCTAGAGGTCAAAAATAAAAACAGCATTACATGAACCTAACAGAAAATAGGCACAAAAACAAACAAAACACAAGGACCATCAATTGCTTTGTTCTTTAATCACCCCTTCATGTCAGCAAGTAGAAGGATCATCTCTTTGTACCTGGCTAGTATAAGGATTGCCTCTCCCGTGGCCAGCAAGTACAAGGATAGACTCTTCTATGATGATGAGTGAAAAGTTAACCTGTTTGCATCCGTCAGGTACAAGGATCGTCTCATTTGTGTGTAAAAAGGTCAGGGATCACTTCTTTCTTTCTGGCCCCATCTCAATTCTATGACAAAGTCACACAAAGTCCTAGTTTATTGTTTATATTGGATAACACGTAATATGCACAATATACAATTTCAAAATCTTTGATAGGATTCTTCTTTGAACCATAAAATTAGATACACTTAACTAAAGAATATTATATACCTTTAATTAATTTTATCTAAAATTAAACAAAAACCTACCTTAGAAGAATTTGATAAAGAAGATAATTCTTGTTTATCAACCTTTTGAATAAAGAATTCTTTATCTGGATCTAATAAAAGTCCATGTAGCATCCAAGATATCAATTGTTTGCATAATACAGCATGACATGAATAAAGAAGTCTAATCATAAATATAAAACATTAAAATAATGTTTATTTAATAGTAATAAAAACAAAAACTAAAATTATCTGAAATTTCTAATACATCAAATAAGTCATTAAAATATTCAATGAAACTAAGGTTTAGTTAAAAATAATTACAAGATAAATATAACAATAAACTATTCTCTAATTTAATTTTAATTCTAATTAATTTCTAAATAAAAATATTTAAAAATCTTGTAATAATTGAAATAAAACAATTAAACAATATAATTCAAAACTGTTTGTTACCATCAATGTAAAATCATATTAAAAAACATTTTAAATATCCCTAATAATATTACAGTAGAACCTCGAAAACTCGGCCTAATGTGGACCGAAGGGTAGCCGAGTTTGTGAAAATGCCGGGTTTTCGGGAATGGGGTTAAAAAAATAAGTACGAGTGTTTCCTCAGAAAATAATGTACTGTACTTGTATGTATTGTTTACTTACAAATATAACAGAGAATAAACTGCCCAAATACCCTTAAACAAAGGAAAAGTACGTCCTTTATGAAGGCATAGAGCCTTTACTACATGAAAATGAAAATTAATGAATACACTGTGTACAGTAATTTACCTGATAAGACAGACCTCAGAAAAATACTTTATGAGAGCTTTTATACTTTTATAAAGCTGTCTATAATGAAAATTAATTAACTAAGGATTTTTTTGCCCTGCCAGGTGAGGCCGAGTTATCCGGAGTGCCGGGTTATCAAGAGCCGAGTTTTCGAGGTTCTACTGTATATTAAGGAATTACTAATTCACTCTTATAAAGATTATTTATTCACAAAATTTGCTTACTTATATAATATTTCCAATCTTGTTCTATTAGTAATATATAAAATTCTATTTTATATATATGTATGTATATTATTATTTGATTTGTTATTTCTATCTAAAAATGTTATTAGAAACAAATATTTCCTAGCCTACTTATTTAGTTTCTATATACTTGAAGGAAAACAATTAAAATTTAATTAATTTATTGTACAAATTAAATCATGAAGATTAAATATTAAAAATATTCTTTATTTTTTTTCCCAAAACATAATAAATTCATGAATCTAAAATATATTTTAAGATCAAGAATAAATAAAAAATTACAAAAACAATCTAAAAAAGTAAAATTTATTTTAATTTATATTACATTTAATTTATTTATTTAATTTATTTTAATTTAATTAATTTATTTATTAAGTAAAAAAATTTATTTTAATATTGTCGATTACAATTCATTTGTATGTAGATTTTGAAATTTGATATGAGATTGATAGATGATAGATATTTGATAATAGATACAAATACAGTTAAAAAAGTAAAAATACAGATGTTTCACAGATGTTCAAAACCTTGAATGTCAGTTAGATTTGATTAAGTTTGAACATTGTATCTGAAGATGGACTTGAAAAATGCATAAAGCCTGGTACTCACATGCGAAAACGGACAACGAAAATGGTTGCCGTTCTGTCGTCTTTCCGTGTCACGTGTACTCACATGCAGAAATGACCCTATAATTGAAACGCGCCATCTGCCAGCTGTAAATATATAAACAAGCTATTACAATAGGTAGGCCGTGTGCCAGTAATCGAAAATGACATCTACCGGGATGCCATCTACCAGGATCTAACCTTGCTTTGTTATATCAATTAAACTTTTTAAGTTTGCCTTTGATCTTATCGCAAATAAAAAAACCTCAAAAACAAATAATTTGGATAGGAAAAATATTCTAAATCGTTGAAAGTTAGGAATATCAAATACTTTCGTTGCCAAATTATGATTACTCCATTCCCAATACTTTATGCAATAAGTCTATTTGACATTAATATTTAAATCAAATAGTAATATAGCGTATAAATGAAATATATTAGCATATTAGTGTACAAATAAAGCTTTTTAGCTTGCTGATCGCCATAGTTCAAATGCTATCATCCCACGTGATCTTTATGACGACATTGCTAAACAGTCTTCCTATTGATCTAATTTTTGCCATTCCGCTTTCCACCACGGCAGAAGTTGAAAATTTTCAACTTCGTATTCCATCTGCTTCGACGGCAAAAGTGACATCATTTTGCCGTTCCGTCAACGGTTTCCGTCATCCGTTGCCGCGTGTCAGTACCAGGCTTAATACCAAAAATTTTAAAAAATTACCTTTATCAGAAATGACCTTTATTATGTTTGAGATATTATAATGTAACATAGAGCCAGAACTTGAAAAAAATAAATAAAATATAGTGTGTAGCCATTATTTTTTTTGTCTCTAGATATATCTCTTACAAAAACTTCAAAATATATGATAGTCAGAGGTCCTCAAAGATATTCCAAAAACAATAATGAATAGAATATATTTAAAACAACACACACAAATTTTATTCAAACTACTAACTTTTTTAAAGCAGAGTTTACTAATGGATTTCCTGACGAAACATACTTATGAAGTAATTCAAGAATACAACATCCATGAATCTAAATAAATATAAATAAGTATTAATTAAATAGTCTTTTAATAAAAAAAATTGTTTATAATAAATATCAAACACAATATTAATAAATTTATATGATTAAAAGATTAAGAAAACAAAAAAAATATACTGATAGTAATTTAATATTTAAATTCAGAAATTAAATACTTAGCATTATGATTTCTATTAATTTTTTTCTGAAATTTTTAAGACATTTGTCTGTGACTGCCATTTGATTCAAGTTTTCCAAGTATTCATGTTGTAAACTTACCAGAAGTTATATTAATTTTATTCCAATCAAAAATTGTAAAAATATAAGTAGCTTAACATTCAGTGACAAAATTTTAGGTTAAGTTTCCATGTAAAATTTAAATAAAAATATTATTACATCCAATAATCTTGAATTTCTCATTATTGTTATTATTGTTTAGGTAGGGACAGTAGGTCTAATGCACTTAAGTATCATTACAAGGTCCATTGCATACCCCCATGAGAGATTACTTCACAAGTCTGATCTCTAAAAACAGAGAGCAGACTTCTGAAGAATGTCAAGGAATTCACCAGAGCTGAACAAAGTAGAACTCAGATAAACAATTCTACCTGAGTAATCTGCACACTCACATATCCTATCAATTCTTTCCCAGTCAATTTTTCCTTACATTTTTAAAAAATAATTTCCATAATGTTGCTTTGGTCAATTATTTCCATTATTCTACAGGGTACTTATGTTTGCACAATTCTTCCCACATTGATGTCAACTTTAACATATAAAATGCATTTAAAAATATTAAATTTTTGAATATAAAATTATTAAATCTCTTTAATTATGTAACGCATTTAAATCATTTTCTATTTTCAAGTTATATTATAAATTGTTTTCTACAGGTTTATGTTTCTTCTACATTGTATTTAGATAAGATTAATAAACACCAGAAAAGGTTGTTATTCACAATTTATTTTTACCAAGTAATTAGTATACAATACTTAACATTTATACACTTATAAAAGTATTCACACCACCTTTACAATCTACACAAGATGATAATTAAGTGATGAAGGATTTAGGAGTTCTATGCTGTTAATCATATTTTATAATCCTACATTTTTGTTTGAAAAAATATTCATCAATTTGCAGATATAATCTACAAACCTCTACAAATTTTGACCTCTATTATCACAAATTTTATTTAAGTTCTATATCATTCATTTCTATATCATATTAGTACCAGATTTTACTACAAAAATTTGCTTTTGTACTAGAAATTAAATATAGGGATTTAAATTGAAGAATAATGGCACACATCGTCTTTTACTTTACATCTTGGAGAAAAATTTTATACATTTCAACTGTATGATATTTTTACCTCAAACAAAAAATAATTACATCAAAAATAAAATTTTTCTCTAAATGGTACTAACAGATCTATCATGAACAAATCACTCTCCTAAAAGTATTTTTGGTTGATCACTATTTTTGTTATGATCTATATAACTCTGGAATGGAACATAATAGAGTTATATGTACAGAAAATACTAAACAATTTGTTGATGAAGAAAATTATATTATTTGTCTTGAAACAAATAATATTTCAAAAGATTATTTAAGAAAATAATATTCTAGAGAAAAATATATGGCAAAAAAAAAACTGTCTGAAATAAAACTTTTTTAAGAGAAGAATCATCTGAAGAAACTCTTGAATAACTTGTCTGAGGAATAACCATCTGGAGATCAATTTCTGGAAAATAATTGTCTGGTTACATCACAAATGAGATGAAGAGGAGTTGTCTCAGCAGATCAAAAAATATGGATATGGTTGAGGAAGAGAGTCTCAGTCAGCACAAATATTTACAAACAAGTCATCACAATACAAATCAAAAAGTGAACATAATTTCAGTTGAAATCTTTAGTTCACCCAGAGAGTGGGCTATACAGAAATGTCTTGTTATGCTTTAAACCAGAGTAAACCTCCATGGCTTAGAATAATTGGAGGTAGTCCAATCTTTGACAGCTCTATAGAAAGTATTGTAAAAAATGCTAAAAGCTGGTTCACCCTCTACAAAAGGATATGAAGCATCCTCCTTGGCTAGTAAATCAGCACTTGCATTGCCAATATCTTTATGTCCTGGCACCTACAAGAGAAAGATACCATTATGGGTAACCAGCTCACTGAAGTAAAAACAGCACTCCCAAATATGTGCTGAAGTAACCCAAAAGGAATAAAGTGCCTTTAAGGTAGCTTGACTGTAAGAAACAATGTACATAGTCTTATTGAAAAGACCTATATAAAACAGTGTAAACACCAGATAACAGCTGGCAACTCTGCATGAAACACAGTGAAGAAGTTACCCAATGGGACAAAAAAGCCCCTCAGCCTGAATGAATAGGTGCAAAGGATAAAGACCCAACAGAACTTCACAACTTACCAGAGTCATAGACTATCAGAGATAATACTCTTGATAAAGATATTTTGTTTGCAAGTTTGCAAAACACTAATCATTATTAATTTACATAAGTCAGGAATATATAAGTTGTGAGAATCTGGGATTTATGCAAAATATTTGTCAAATTATTATTTTAAAATTTAAAAATTGATAGAAAAATATCAGTCTTTGTCTTCCTCTGACTCAGGGAAGACATTTACTTTCTACTGAAGTGATAGTTTCAGAGCAGTGAACCGCTCAAACTATCCGCACAACCACCCAACTTCCTTCTTGAGGAAATATGGCTTCATCTGATTGGATGTCAATGTGCAAAGGTCACCTTTAGATGTGCTCTTAGCCATTGCTTTAGTCATACTCTGCTTTAGTCAAGTCAGCCTTGCTCTAGCCATTGTTCCTGGTTTGGCACCCTTACTGAGTGACTAATGGATAAATAGTCAGTCTTGTTTCATTATGTGTCTGGTTCTCACAAAAGGTTCTCTTCAACCAAGGAAACAAACAGTCAAAGTTCACAATACAAGATACTCAAGGTAATATGATAAATTGTATGTGTAAACTCTCTCTCAGTAGCACTAGAGATTGTAGATTGATATCCTTATCCAATTGGTTTGTTGAATTTATCCTTATGTTAATTTAGTAATTCATTCATGTATTCATTTGTTATTATAATCTATAGAATAAATAGAATAAATATAGTTTTTTTTATTCTAAACCGTCTAAGTTAGTGACTAACTCCATTGTTAGTCTACGTTAACACAACATGTAACACTTGAAAGTAACCCTCCTACTTTCCAGTTAAATTTATATTTAAATCTTCATCCAGTCGGAAGATAATATAACTAAGTGGTGTCAGGACCCTGACATGTAAAGGAAAGATCTTGCCAATCTCACTGAACATTTTTATAATAAACCGTCCTGATAGTGAGAGAGGTGTACCGGAACCAACTCGATCTCATAATTGGTGTCATCAGAGGGGATTTGATGCCTCATAGTCTCACAAAATACAGTAATTATATTTTAAACTTTAAAATTTGAAGAAAAAGAAATATGTACAATACAATCCAAAATTTAATGGAAAATAGTTATCAATTGAAAGAAATAGCAGTATTTATATTGTTATGTATATTTTCAATACGTTATGAGATTTTAAAAAAAAATGCATTATTAATTTACAAACATATATCTAAAAACTGTCATACCTTTTGGACTTTTATATGAAGAATAAGTTGTTTCAAAACAGAGAACATCAGCTGATACTATAAAAGAAAAAAAATCTTACAGCAGGAAATTAAAATTATAATAATGAAATAAAATTAAACAGTAAAATAACAATAATTTTTAAAGAAACATAATTTTATTAAAGTGGTAAATGAAAAATGGTCTTCCCATGGGTTCCCAAGGCTTACGCAGAAAATGATTGATCGCTATCACCATGCACACTCACATCATGACTGATCGGCAGGCTAACAACCCTCTCCATGTGGTACAACAGGTTCCTATCACATTCAATCTGTACCTAAAAATGCTCTGTACTGAGAATGCCAAGAAATGACATATTCAGATCGTGTACAGGAGATGTCCAACCATCTTTGACATCCTTTGCAATGGAAAAGACCCCCCAACCAGAACAGACTCCCTGGTGTGTATAGTATTCCCATTAGGGACAACAGGTTTGATAGGGACCACATTTACATCTAATCCACAAAACGCTCCTTGGAGGTCAGAGTTCAGTAACATATAGCGAACATACATCATAAGAGAAATACTTCTGCCCTCGCCACATACACTGTCGATTTGGACATTGTGGCGGCCTTCCACCAGGCAAAGCTCGTATACGCACCATGTCACACACCGAACACCTTAAGTGGCTAGAGGCCATTCACATTTATAAAATCGACCCTCAATGACAACTGCATCAATTTTAAGGATGAGTTGGTTCTGTCGCCAGCCTGGCAGGCATTGATGGACTCCAAACTTTACGGTCATGATAGGTCAACCAGACGAATACGCATGCGTCTCACATAACACCTTCTAATGTTTCTCAAATTTCCTTAACGGTTTGCTCTGTCCCATCAGTAATTCTGTTTCATACCTGAAGAAGAACTCATATCAGTTTGAAAATGTTTGTGGTAATCTTTATCTTTTGTTTTTTATATCACACCGGTTATAGGTTCTAAGAGTGCATGGGATTTAGTTGATGTATATTATTTTCCTTAAAAGTAATTTCCTAATAAAAGTAATTTACAGTGTTTCTATCTTGGAATTAAACAACATTATATATCATTAGATACAACATAATTTTCTTCTGGTACGAATGCTTATGATTTACTTATTCCTTATTAAGAGTTTTTTTTTTTCAATTTTGTCTGTTATTTTTAGCTACTGAAAGACAGTTATCAAATCATTTCAAAAAATTATCATCATCAAAAGATACTTTAATTTTCTTACAAAATTTCATTAAAATTATTTTAATTATTGCTATATTAAATATTAAAACTATACTATTTTAAATACAAATTTCCTTAAATGTTTAGTATTTTCTATTTAAAGTTTAGTTTATTTTTAACCCTATATATATGTAAAATTTTTTTCAATTCATTAACAGAATTCAAATCTACAATTGAAACAAATTCAATACACCAAATAAACCCAAAGATACATTTTTTTCTTTATTCGAAATTGTAACAAATTTGCCTTATGCGTAGCAATGTATATAAAAAGTATAATTATGAGTTAGAATAAATCTAAAAGATTTTAAGTTAAGACTGAAAAAATAAAACAGTTCTTACTTTATCCAATTTATGTTGAAAATGTGAAAGAGGAACATAAGGATCTTCTAAAATTTCTTTTTCTAATGCTAAAAGATCTTGACAATAAGGGTTAAGTACATCTTGCAACCCACTACAAAATGCTTGAACATATAAGCCATGAAGATTGTCTAGATTTATTAGATATACAAAAGTTAGCATTGTACTCATCATTTATTGTATAATATTGTAAAAATATTATAGTACTGTTATACCTTCATTTTCTTGTGTACCATGAGAATATTTATTTATAAATTCCTGAAAATCTTTATAATTTGTGCCCAAAAGACATAAGTGATCTAATAATGCTATTTCACCAGGGTGAAGGAAAGATAATCCCTTTAAAACCTGAAATCAAAATATACAGAAAAGTAATTTGTAAAAGTGTTATTCATACTACATTTATCAAATAATTAATTTAAATTATATAGTAAAATATATTTAATTAAATTAAAGAGACTGAAATATTAATTTATTCATAAAGATTGGTTATGCATTAAAGAGAACAATATTGAGACAAATGACTGATCTTAGTATTTTGCAACAACTCTAGCATTTTTATTGTTAAAAACTACTTTATTATGTTAAAAAAATCTTTAACTATCAGTTATCTAGTTAGCAGTAAAAAGAATTTTTACTGCTAACTAAATAAAATGGAAAATGATAGATTACAAATAGTAAAATATTGAACCTATTTCTTATAAATCTGATAAAACTTAATTGTTTCAAAAGGAAACATTTGCTTTTTTAATTAAACTATTTATTATATCATATTTCTGTACATGTACAGTACATGCATGCTCTTAACGAGGCACAATTGTCACTATATTTTACAAAGTACATGAAAAATTCATTATTTAAAAAAATACTTTTTATAGTATCAGATGTATTTTTTATTTTTATTTTTAATAATGATTACCACAGCTCTTAATGAAAAGTTACTGTATAAATACATTTACATTAGTTTACATTGACATAGCAGTGCAATGCCAAAACAAGCTGGCACACATAAGAGCGTGCTTATACATGTGTAACAGCTTAAGTGTACAATTTAATGATAATAATGTTATGTTAACTGTAAAGAACAGACACAAACTTTGCTCAATATCTTGGTGTGGTGACATGGTACAGAGTTGTTCTGAAAGATACAGAATTTCATGTCATTAAATTGTTCCTTGATTATTGGAATTAGCATGGCAGATAAGGTGTTTTTGTAGAATTCTGCATTCACAAACTCATTTATAAAATATAGTCTCCAACACCTTTACTGGATATTCATTCTATACCATGAGTCACCATGAACTTTACATCAAGCAATTTATTATGGGCTTTAAATTTTCTATACCTAACGTAGAGTTTTCCATCAGATCTATACAGGTTAAATTTGAATTTATCCAAAATCTCAGAATCTCACATCAATGCTCCAGTCCATATGCTATTTAGTCCAATAAGCCACTGTCTGCACAATTTACTGATTAGTAATGGCTTCTCACACTAACAGCAGGATTTTAAACTCATGTAGCACATGCTCATTTTTACACCTGTCTGCTCTTCCCATATTACTTTCAGTTCAGAAAACTAATAATATATACTGGCATGCTTTGCTAGTACAGTCGACCCCCCTATAAGATATAGATACGTTCCAATTTATTAGGAATCCGATTTCTTACAAATCGTTCCAATCACAGCCCGACACGTGTCAAGTTTACGGACTACGGCTGATTGAAAGGTTTTCTTCCATAAAATTAATCGATTCTACACTAATCCGACTCAACATTTCCAAAATACGTATATTTTTTCGTAGTTTTATAGGAATCGTAATTATAGGGACGTAATTATAGGGGGTCGACTGTATAGCATACTCATACATTCTCATACATCCAACTTTTCTTTCAATATTCCCATGTTAATGTCTCATATTAATAACAAATGCATGATTGATGACAATGCACAATTTTACAAGTGGATAAACCTTTAGTATTCAAAGCTACAATAGACTTTTTAAAGTATTAACTGTCAAAAATTTTCCATTTAGCTTATAAAGAAACACCATATTTACATGAATTTTTATACCAATGGACAACACAATCACCAGAAACATTATTACTGTAGATTTTGCTAGCCAATGAAAAGCATACAGTACTTATGTTTATGTCATGGATGAAGCAATCTTTAAGGTTTCTTGAAGAAATAGTAATTTAAAAAATAAACAAGGTTTTATGAATGATACAATTTCTGCTACTGTATATCTAAAAAAAAACATTGTTATTATTCTACTAGATCAGCGCTGTCCAACTTATCATAGCCCGCGGGCCATATTTTCTTCACCAAACATTTCGGGGGCCAAGAAGGTTGCTGCTGTATTCAGCCAGGTTAAGTGAAGTTACGCAAACTAAATAGTACCTACTTTAAATTCAAATTAGATTTAAATTTCCACATAGTAAAATAATTTTAATATTAATAATAATAATTTAGTAACATAAATTTATTCATAGTAAAATGTACTCGGGGGCCGTAAAAATTATTTGGTGGGCCGCCAGTTGGACAGCCCTGTACTAGATCATAAAAGACAATTTTTCTGTTTGGTTTTTCTAAATGTTGTTGGTATTTTTTGAAAGTCAAAAATATTCCTATATTTATTATGTATGTTAAGTATGTATAGCTTGTAACAAAGAATAACCAGCAAATTCATCATCATCCAAACCAGAATAATGATGAATACATAGTTTACAACCCTCTGTCTTTCCACCTTTAGAAGCAGTTGTCAGCTTGTCAGTCTGAACTAGAAATTCTCTATGTTTTTGAGATAACAAAATACCTTTAATGCATGTCTTTGTAATCATGCATTTACAACCAATACTAAAATTTCCAAGTTTACTTATATGGTAAAATTTTTTTTAAATTGTCTGCTCTCCAACATTAACATTTCTTTTTTTCTGGATTAAACATTGCCGGACATATGAGAATTTCAATGAAAACTTTAAATTTCTGTTAAATTATGAGAAATTAACTTTTTTTCTCTAAAAAATTTCTGCATACAAAGTTTTGTTTCAAAATATGAAAGATTTTCTGCCCTTTAGGCTGTGTACACACTAGGCGTTTTGCGTTGCATTAAATGCGCGTTAGCAGCGTACACACCAGGCGTTAGCTCGGCGTTAGACGAGCGTTTAGTGGAGCATACGCACTGGCTCAGTTTGGAAATGGACGTGAAAGTAATTGCTTGTGTGCCCCTCCTCCATCGTTGCTATAAAAGACGTATCCAAAACTAAGACAAAATAAACCCGTTTTTTAATTATTTTAAAATATCTATAAAATCCTTTGACAATGGTTGGTCTCTTTTAGATTTCATCAATAAATAGATCAGTATCAAAATGATCGTTCTCCATTTCGGCCAACGTATGTCCACTCTACCTGAAAACACGTGATCAAATGTACAGTAACATGGCAGCACATATATCTCAAAGCGCTCGGCTGACGCCCGCAAAACGCGCGATCGAATGTACAGTAACATGGCAGCACATATATCTCAAAGTGCTCGGCTGACGCCCACAAAACGCGCATTGTAAGAAAAATCTATAAACACGTGTTTAATGCACGCTTGGCCAAAAGCACACGTTTGAGTGTGTACGCTTATGCAGAACTCTTGGGTTTTTAAACGCGCATTTAAAAATGTCTAGTGTGTATGCAGCTTCTTCTGATAATGACATTTGAACAATCGAATAATACCCCAATCCAGCAGTTGCACGACAGCTGTAGCATTTGGCAGTAGAGTAAACACCTTAATTGCTTGCAGTCCTTCAACTTTTCCATGAGCAGGACAGTTGTCAACAACGAATGATACATTTCTTTTTTGCTTAACAAATTGGGAGTCGTATTTGTGAAGAATTTCCTCCCAAATTTTGAAAGTCATCCAACCTTTTTAATTTGCTTCATATGATGGGTAAACTCTTCACTCCCTCAAAACATCGAGGCCATCGAGATTTTCCTATATCCAAGGGCTTCGGCTTTTCGGAGCCATCAGAGTTTGCTCTGAGAAGGATCGTAACTCGCAGCTTCGATTTGCTTCCGCCGTGGCAACTCTCGTTTTTAAACATAGCGGTTTTCTCCAGAAGCAACTTGTAGAAAAATCCTGTTTCATCACGATCGAAAACGTTTTCCAGTAAATAACTACTTACCACACCAGATTAATGATAATGATGCACTTGGAACCAATTACGGCATGGTAACAAAATAATAAAAAAAACTAACATTTTTGAACCTCTTTGCAGCTCTGCATCAGGTTCTTAATTGTTCAAAAACATTCGTCTTTTCGTTGTCTCGTTACCACGCCATAATTGGTTCCGAGTATGTCTTTAACGTTTTCAGGTTTATATGATTTCTCAATCTCTCGTAAAACTCTCTCTTTCCAAGTTTCAACCAAGGTCATATCAACAGATTCTTTTTCTCTGTATGGCTTTTTGAAAGTTGGGCTGTACAAACCTTAAAATCTCTCCAACCATTCATCACCAACAATAAAGTTGGTTTCCTCTCCAAGTACCCCAGCGATTTCCACGGCTTTTTGTTTCGGTATCGGCCCCGAAACGGGAAGACTCGACAAACAAATTTGCTTTAGCCAATGTACCGGAGCATCTTTGACATCTTTGTACGGCAACTTTTTCTGGCGTTTTCAAGACGGCCGCAACAAAGACTCAAGACAAAGTTTCTTAATTTCCTCTTTTTCTTCAAAATTACCATCGATGTTGTTCTTGGAAGATATTTTGCTTGCAAATTTGGCTGGCGAAGTTTTATTACGCCTACATTCAAATTCATATACAAGTTTGTACTTTTCCTTCGGCGTAAGCATTGTTAGCTTTCGGATACTCATTTCTAACAGAAATGTGAAACACGTGCTACATATAACACATGAATGAAAGATGAGAAAATGCCAAAATCAGATTCTGTTGTGACGTTAAGCTGTGTGGTGTGAACTCATTGATATAACGAGTTCGCATCACATATCTATGACGACTTATGCGGACTCGTCAGTATGTATATGTATGTATATACATACAAAACATACATTCATATTCAAAATTACATTAAATGAATATTTATTTCTTTAATATTTTATAACATTTTGCTATTATACTAACTTGTATTCCTTCTTCTTCTCTGTCTACAAATATATTTCCCGGGTATCCCCGCAGGGCTAACAACAATTCGTGAAGCATTAAAACTCGAAAACAAATTACACCGCATCCAAGCGTCTAAATTGCCGCCATTATAGTTTAGCGAGTTTGATAGCGCCTCCTATCGGAATCAAAAGAGTCTAGCACCTGAGAGCGTGGCCTACGTCATACTACAGACCCGTTGATGGAAAGTTTCGAATATTTCACGCTAGAGGTCGGGATTACGTCCTATTCCCTGTGTTTTCGTTAGCGTTTACGTTAGAGTGAATAGTCTCAAAACGTAAGAATGTCGCTCTATTACCATGGAAATTATAAAATTAAGTGCGTTAAATTACTTATATTATTTTAATATTAGGGAATATTAAACTGTTTTGCAAAGCAATTTTGGATGCGCTTTTCAGAACATCGACATTAGGTACAGGAGTTGATCCAAAATGGCTTTGACCAAAGTCGAAACACTCCAGGAATTTTTAACGGAGTACGGCAAAGCATGGAACGTAGATTCAGAGGATGCATCAAAGCAGAGGGAAATCTATGTTGTTAAATGCCTCACCTGTACCATTAGTAATAAACCCTATAACTCTCTCACGAAGGATTTTCGGACCCATGTTCATATAAACTTTGTGTAATTTTTCGGTGTCAGAAATACAACCCTACATTTATGGACACCAATTTAGATACACCCTGTATAATACTTTTAAACCTACAAAATGTTTCTTGCCAATGAAAAACATCTCAAAAATATCAAATTTAAAAAGTTTTTCAAACATTTTAGAATTATATTTTTAAATACCGGATTTTTCTCGACCTCATACGACATCGAGAACTAAAAATTCGCATAACATCGCACCAGGTTTCTAATTTATTTCTCATATTACTTTCTGTTCCAACAAATAACACACAAAAGCGGATAATTTCCGATTTTACAGTCAAACCTCGGTTTTCGAACGTAATTCGTTCCTAAAAGTTGTTATAAAACCGAAATAAATTTTCCCATAAAAAAACAGTTTAAAATGAATTAATCCAATCCTGACCCCAAGAATAAAGCCTTTTTTTTAAATCTTTTTTACCTGTATTTGATGGATAAAAATGTCTATAAATGCAATGTAATATTATATATAATAAATTCTTATTTAATATTACTTAAGTAGCTTTAAACCGAATTCTCGGATGCCATTATATTACTTGAATGTCAATTAACGCAATTTTTATTAATTAATTTAATTCAAATTCAACTCCGGCACGTACCGAAAAACGGAAGTAGTATCTTTCCCCCATGCGCATTGAAATTTAATTTAAATAGCAACGTCATCTATGATTTGAGTCATGACGTCAAACGACGATCTCGGCGCCATTAGCTTCTGAATCGGTAGTCTTGTCGTTGATTGGTCGGGCCGTCGACTTTCTTTAACACAGGAAGTCGACGGTCTGTCTCTCTCTAATCCGTGTTCGACTCTTGTTCGGAGACCGAGTTAGCGTACGCACCTCGAATCAACCCCATTAATTGCACTAAGAAATACACGATACGATACGATACCGGAATACTATACACGACATCAAATTTATATAATAACTATTATATTAATTCATAAAATTATTTTAAGTAAATTTAATACAAATCAGTTTCTCAAAAAAAAAAAAAAAATTGCCAACACCCCGCCGACAACTTAAAGCACATGCCTACACATGCCTTTACTAATCTAACATAAATTCTATAAGATAGAAAACGATAAGAGACTTCTGGATTTGACAAAAGAATCTGGTTATCTTTCTTTTTATCTTCGACTCTGTTCCGTGAGCCCTCTCTCTCTTTAATCATATCCACGGAGAATTCGACGGGCCAATCCATAAATAATTCCTAGAATTACTTGCCCCGTGTTCGATCTTGAATCCCGACAGCGTTAGACTGACCCCCTGTCTCGGCCATCAGAATACGGTACTCATTATTATACCATCAAATGCATCCATTTATGGATGTATTCTAAAAAATACAACTTAATAAGTGTGCTTTATAATAAACAAATACAGTAATTTCAATATCGGATTAATAACACCGGAATTAAATTTTATTGAAACAGAATAAAGTTCGTGCGAAAAATTCCATCTTTAATTTTGTAATTTTGTTTTGTCGAAATAATCGTCTTAAATTTTGGGAGACGAATTTGACGAATCGTCGTTTAATTAATAAATCTGTTCTTGGCACATTCCACACACAAGACATCCGCTCCGTCTGCCATAAATCCTTCTCCGACCAGCGATCGTTGGCAAGCGGCACACACAAAGCAATGGTTGTGCCAATTCCGATCTTCGAAGGATATAAAACGCGTTCCGCCAATGCCTGTGACAGAATAGATTTTGCCGAATAATGATTTCGTTACAAGTGTTTCCTACATATATAAAAATAAAATAAAAATTAACCAGTAATTGGTCCGTTGCAGGCGTCGCATCTTTTTGCAAACAATTCTCCGAAGCATTGGGCGCAATAGGGTTTCTCGTCTACGGATGTGAAGCGCTGTCCCGCCAAACACATCTGACAGCCGGTGCAAGAAAAACACTCTCTATGCCAGGGTTCGTTGCAATAAGTAATACCATTAGTATCGATTACTCGATGGCATTTGATGCAACGCGTAGAAAACTTCTGTTCGTAACAGCTAGGGCAATATATGCAGTTATCTTTCGGAATAAAGCTGTTGGTGCCTATGGAGTCGGCACAGACAACGCAGCGAAAACACTCGACGTGCCACTGTTTATCTTTATACTCCATCTTACTCGAACCTAAAATTAAAGTTAAATTTTGAAATCGACAATTAAGGCAATAAAAGTACTTTTAAATTGAAGAAACGTTCGAGTTTCTCCGTACCGGCTTTAACTATTTCGCCGCAAACGTCGCACTCGGTGGCAAAATCCGATTCGTAACAGGTGACGCAGTAAACTCGGTCTGCTTTCGAGCCGAAAAGTTTATTTTCCAACGGAGCGTGACATTTATTGCACGAAAAGCACGTTTCATGCCAATGTTTATCTTTGTAGGAGAGATCCTGAGGAAAATTTATGAAAATAAAATCAAGAACTTTGCGAAAGTATAAAAATATTGATAAATAAAACTTAGCATTTTTATGGATGTACTATAGATTACCCCCTACGGAATTTCGGGACTTTGAGTATGTATTTGAACATGAGGGGACCGAGACGAGTTCAACGGTACCCTACTTTTGGACCGGAGTCGAAAAATAAGAAAATTATCATATTTACAATTTCTTACCTTTCACAGTGCATTTTTTAATGGCTTGCAGACTTTACCGCAAGATGGCGGTACTAGCAACTACGGTGTCGTCTGCTTAATTTTCTTTTTTTCTATTTACGTTAGTTATATATTTTAATTTAATTTTATTTAATTAAGTTATGTTATTTAAGTTAGTTAACCTAAGTTATTTATTTAAGTTATTTAACTAACTAGTTTGATTTGCACATTTTCACCGCTAGGTGGCGTTGCTTCCAATTACGGTGTCGTCTGCTTAAAGGGCGTGCGAGAAGGACTTAACCACAACTGCAGACGATCAGTGTGCTCGTGGATCAACATCTGCCTCTGTTGAAGGTATATACGGCCGCCTTGCCGGGCTGCCTGTTAAACACGCGATAGGCTTAGCGGAGAGAGCGACGCGACTCCCGATCATCGCGCTATCGCCGGAAAAAAGTATGATAACTTTCTTATTTTTCGTCTCCTGTTCAAAAGTAGGGTACTGTTGAACTCGTCTCGGTCCCCTCAGTTCAAATATATACTCAAAGTCCCGAAATTCCATAGGTTATAATCTGTAGTATCCCCGCATTTGTTTTTACTTTTGAATCAACTCCTATTAATTTTCCACATTCGTCGCAAATATTGGAATACGTTTTTTCGTAACAACCAACGCAAAATGGTCGATCGTCTCTTATAAGATATCGCTGACACGTAAGAGATTCGTCGCACTTCCAACAGCAGAAATGAACCGTGTGCCAATCTTTTGACATTGCTCTGGTGTATCGATCGTCAAAAATAAGCTAAACATTTAAGATAAGTTATTTTTTGTTCCTTTATTTTTAAAAATAATCTAAAATCGTTTACCTCGTCGCAGGCCGCGCATCGAGGTCTTATTTGTTCCGCGTAATGACGTTCGCAGTAAATTTTGCCCTCTAAGGTACAACAAACTAAATCCACTAATAATTCTTCGCATACCGAACATACGAAACAGCCCGGGTGAAACGGATTCTCTTCTCCTAATTTCGAATTTACTACTGCTAAATCTCCCAGTAACACGGTTCCTCGACAACCGCGGCACTCCTATAATTAGGCAATATTGTAATAATTAAAATTTTAGCTAAGACAAAGAACGAAACAATAAATAGTTCTTTCTCGCCGAAGTCTGCTCCGGAGCACTTTTAACGTATGCAATATCCATCGCTGTTTTCTGGCGTTCGCGTATAAAGTCCGCGTATTGCTGCTGATATTCTTTTCCTAAAAATTTACAGAAATCTGCAGACAAATCTTGTTTCGGAAGTTGTTTAATAATCTGTTTTTCCCGATATTTTTCACCGGACGTTCCGATTCGAGGCACTCGTTGGGAAGGGATCTGCATGAAGTATAATTGGATCTGAAAATATGAGAATGAATCCGGTGGTAAAGCCATTAATATAGTATCCGCAGAATTAAACGTGCTTAAGGCAATTGCTTACTTTATCTGGAGACAAGTCGGATGGCACCCAGGAATACCCTTCTTTTGAAGCAGTCCGTTTCGACCGCATTCTATTTTGTTGGCCTTGGCCTTTCGACCCTATTCTATCACGGATATTAATCGTATCTTTGGGACAAATGTCGTGACATTCGCGCGAGCATTTACAATTATCACAAACAGTTCTGTCGGTGACGTAAAATTGATTATTATGATAAAGTTAAGCGAATTATTATAACCGAAATATCTTACCTCCAAGCGTGAGGTTTGTAACCCGGGCATTTACTTTCGCATTCCAGGCACTCTTGTCCTTCGTCTATTTTCTCGATGAATACGCCCTTTTGAACAAAAACGAAAAAAAACAATATTCTTTGTTTTTATTGATTTAA